CGAGCCAGGCCGGGGCGAGGGTGTGGCAAGACAGCGGCAGGAACACAGGCGTGGGAAGGAAGAGGGACCCGATGCCGGGCGTGCTAGCCAACGCTCGCCAACCGCGGGGGCCGAAGAAGACGCGGCCGGGGACACCTGGGGAAAAAGACACCCACAACGGCCAGATCCGGCCGGCCGGGGGACCGGTGGGGGGACGCGCGCCCGGGCGCCCGCGCCACCCCCGATTGCGGTTGGGAGCAGGGATTTGAAAAAGCGTTTCTTGACCCGGGTCATGTGATTGCCATGTCACCACCCGCGTGCCCAGACGTGCGCGGCAGCCCAGCAGAGGGGGCCTTGCCCCGGAGGGCGGGGCAAAGGGGCGGGACCGGGGGGGGGGGCAGGTCGCTCGCCCGCTCCCCGAAGAAGCGCGAGAGGAGGGCCGCCGGGCGCGGGCGCGGGTGGCGGACGCCGCGATGCCGCGCGGTAAATACCACACAGCGCGCCCCCGGGCCCACGGGGGGGCTGGCGGGCGGCCCGGAGGGTGGGCTACGGGAGATGGCCGACGGGGGGCCGGCTTGCACGATCTCGGCGGGGCCGGACTCGCGTGCCAGGGCCCCTGAAAAGCAGGGGCCCACACCAGGCCCCTCTCCGTGGCGCCCCCACCGCCTGCCTGCCCCCTCACGCTGCCCTTCCCCCTGCCCCGCCCCCTTCGCCCCTCCCCCCCCCCTCCCTCCCCTTTTTGCCCTCCCGGCGCCCTGTTGAGCATGTCCGCCCCGACCCACGCCTCTCGGCCGAATGCCAGCAAGGAGCCCCAGGATGCCCGGACGACGCAAAACTTCCGCCGGTACTTGGAGTCCAGCGGGGCCATGAATGCCCTGGCCGCGGCGCTGGTGTCGCTGCATGACTCGGAACGCCCGGCGAATGCCATCCCGTACGTCGGCCCTCCTGTGGCATCGCCCGCGCCCCCTTGCCTCCGCCTCCCCCTGCCCATCTGCTGGTCCGGCGGGATGCCCCAACTTACCTACCGGCCTCCCCGTGCGCAGGCTTCTCCTCGACTCGATCGGCTCGCAGGAGGGCGACTCTCCGGCCGCCAGCCCGCGGCACCGCGCCCCTTGCTCGGGCTGTGAAGCCCATGAGCGCGAGGCTGCCCAGCTCCGCGAGCGCCTGGCCGAGCTCGAGGCCCGGCTGGCTCGGCTTGAATCGCCTCCCCCGCCGCTTGTGGCCCCGGGGGCCACGCTACTTCGGTCCAGCAGCGACCTCGGCGCTGGCGCCGGCATTGTCGCTCCGCCAACCGGCAGCGTGGGCTACATCGCCTCCCCGGATCGCTTCCAGTGACCGAGCCCCGGCCGCCGGATCGGCGAAGAAGGCCCCGGCCACCTGGCGGCGGCCGCCGATGATCTGTCCCCCCGTCGCCTTTTTGTGGCCTGCTCACATTTCGCCGCGCAGCTGCCGGGGCGGCGCCGGCTTTCGACCTCTTGCCCTGGCTCCCATTTTCTCTCGTGCATTTTCTCCGTCTCCTTCTTTTTTTTTTGCCTCCTTCACCTGGCGCATGCACACGCTTGTACATTAATTCACCTCCCCATGCGGGACCCTGCCCATTCGCCGACCCTCTTTGCCATTGCCTTTCCTGCCCTTTTGACGACCGTGCCAAGGAGGCCGCGGTCTGCCAGCATCGAAAAGAAGCCTCCCAGCATCGGCCGATGTAGGTGGCAAGGGGCAC